CAACTCACCCGCCCCCCCCCCCCCCCCCCCCCCCCCCCTCTTCCCCGAAAAACATGAAAATCTTATTGTCAAACTTCTTAGCCCTCCCACTCCGAACGGCTACAGGTCTGCCCCTCCCAAAATCATTGTCGTACGTTGGAAATCTTGGCAAACTTCCCATCGTGATCATCATCCTGTCGAAGTTTCCCAACAAGAAACCCGGTGGGTCTTGCTCCCAATCCTCTACGCATCGCCTCACCGTAGCGTTATCGTGAGCCTCAATGTTCTCGTTCAGCTACTCAACGCACCATCAGAGATCACGTGACAGAACGTTGTCGGCGAATGCATACGTCAGAATGCTCTGTATTGCGTTTTCAAAATAGTATGGATCGAGCTTTGGTTCGAGCCGGCGATGGCAATTCACCGCCATTCTAAAGCGTCTTCGATTTGGACGATGGAGTTTCGGAGCACGTGTCACCACTCGCAATAGCAAAGCACACCGTGACTGAAAAGGTGAGATCTATACCATTGAATTGGCATACTCTGTTTCGGTTTCAAAATGGCATTTCGTAGCCATTTCAACAGTGTTATCTTCTCGTCAATAACCTTCAAAGGATAGTTGCTTTGCTTCCGTATCAATTCGACTCTATCAATTGCTCCATTACGACTACAGATCAATTTTTGATCGTTTTTTTTTTATTTCAGTTTCAGAATCGATTCTCTGATGAAACTGAAAATTCTCTCAACGGAGCATCGACGGAGAAAGTGACCTTGGGTCCACCTTCAGGGACTCTGAGAACCGCCGGTGAGATCAACACCGATTCACGGTGGAAGTCTGGTACCCTCGAAATCTTCCTCGCACCAATTCCACAAACCTCCGTGAAAGTATCGAAAAAGTTCCAAAATGACGTGCCATCAGTAACAACGTGATTGAGTGCACAACCAATGGAAACGCCGTCGGCGAGCTCAGACACTTGCACATCCAATATAGGCTTGAAATGGCAGTCGTAACTCACTGTTCTATCAAAAGTGAAGAACTCTTGGACATAGTTAGGGACATCAGTTGGGGAAAAAATGTCAAGAACATGAATGTGAATTGCACTGGTGTGAATGAAGTCAACTCCGGCGTCGTTACATGTGATATAAACATAACTAGAAGTGTCAGTTTTGAGACGTCCGGGGAGTAGTGGGAAGAAAGAGAGAGAGAGTCTGGGAGAGACCACATTGGAGGAGAGAGATGAGAGAGTCAATTGGAACAGGAGGGCGAATGAAGAGACCACCCTTTTGAATTTAGTGATAGGAGAGCATTGGAAGATCGGAGATGGAGAGTTTGAGGTTAGAGAGTACCAACTTTTGGTATGAGAAGATGGTGCATTTGGAGATGAGAGTTAGAGATTGCAAAGAAGCCATGGTTGATGAAGGAATAGGCATGTTTGAGCTTTGCAGTGTCTACATCTTTAAGGTTTTCTTGCCTCACTTCGAATGGGGGTGGAATTCTTGTGAAGTGAGGGGGGAGAGAGAGTGTAGAGGTGGGAGTGGTTTATATAGGGAGGGGTTGGAGTGGTTTGGAGGGTTGGGTTCATGCACTTGCTGAGATAGTTGTTGTTTGTTGGTTTTTCTCTCTTACAAACAACTCAGGAGAAGTTGATTCTCTTTTAGTTGGCTCTTTCTTTTTTTTTCTTTTCCTTTTTTAAAAGGTTATTTGAGTCAATTTACACCTAATTCAACTAATATATTTCTTGGTTTAAGTCAACATACATTCAGTTTGACTAATCCCTTCATCGGTCCGATTAAAAGGATATTTATGAAGGATAAATCCCCCATAGTGTAACGCTAACAAATTATGAAAATTCAAACTCATAACGTCTATATTCACAATTCATCCATATTATCATATGAACTACCCTTAGGGTTAATTGGCTTTTTCTGCGTCATCTTAATTTAGCACCTATCACTTAACCAATTACATAAAAATTATTAAATGGAAAAATATAATTTAATTAAAACTAAATAGTAGGGAATAGTTAGTATGGAGGATGGTGGGCGTTGATAAGTGGCATGTGATAGAATGCAGTTGAAAGAAATCTTTGATTTCTAAGTTATTTATTTAAAAAAGCTTTTGGATTTTTATAGGTGAATAACAACTCAGTACAATAAAACGTAGAATAAAATCCCAAGCTTGAAATGCGACATGCAATACATGCAACGGTGCTAGAGAATGAGAGACATTTGTTCTTTTTTTTTTGGTATAAAAAATAGTTACATAGATTGATCTTTAATGTCCCTATACATATATGTTAGAGAGGATTGTTCTTCAATGTCACACAACTATCTGTAGGAGACCTCATCGCATCAACGTTGCTACCAAAATTAAAGTCTCATCACGTACTCTAGATGTTCAAGAGTAAATTTAGCCCCCACTGAACTGTCGTAGTTATAGACAAGGGCGGAGTCAGAAAAAATTTTAAGGTGGGCACACTAGCATATTTTAATTTTTTTTTAATAAACCGTAAAAGTTCATAAATTTATAGTTATTAAAATTATATTTAATACTTTTTAAACATAAAAATGTAAAAATCGATATACATAACATGTACAAAAAAATAATAATTAAAACTTTTTATCGAGAATACAACTAATTATTATTACTTATAATTGATCCCGATATGTTTTTATTATTTGAAAGAGTTACAAATTAATTTTATCAACAATAATTTTTTTATATATAAAATCGCAGTAAAAATCTTCCATTTACGATCCTATAGTTTACTAGATAACGACACACTTTTTTATACAATAACAAAATAACTCTACAATTTTAAAAAATTATAAAATAATATCAATATATTCAAAAGATAGTTAGACATGTCTAAAAGTTAACAATTTTATTAGTTGTACCTAATTTGAGATTTAATTGATGGAGTCCCAATGATTTGTGATCATCGGATGTTTGGAAGCTAAATTTCACCCATACTGCGGCCATTGGGAGTGTCATGATAGGCTCAATACATGTTATGTCAGTCGCCATGACGTTCCTTGTGGAGACTTTTGTCAGTGAGTATTGGATGTTCTCCATTTCAAGCCTTTCATCCAGAATAGTAAGTTTGCTCTTTGTTCCCTCTTCTATACTTTTATTATATTTCATCTCTTCAACAAATTTACCAATGAGCATTACGGCTTTATTGTTCCAATGGAGAGAAAAACTTATGATTAGCTTTTCGGAAAATTTTCGAACGAACAATTTCAACAAAAACTTTCAATTTCTTATTTTATTATGTTCAACTCTATGTATTTCCTGATCAATTTTTGCCCTACAACATTTCAATTTCGATATTTTCTGCCTCACATTTTTGTTTCTCATCACAATTTATATTTGTTTATGAATAGAATCGGAGGCTTTGTTTGTCTCCTTTTTCTTAGCGATTTAGAATCTAGCAAATAGTCAAATGTAAGAGATTGTCTAGGAATTTCTATTTTTGAATTTAGAATATATTGGTGTTAGTATATTCCTTTTTATTAGAATATTGATTGAAAATGGACCATTACTCTGACCCAGAACACGATTAATCCAGCATGGGCTACATGAGCTCCTAGTAGTTTACTAGATAAATTAATAAGTCAGGCATTCCTAACCCACCAAGCAAAATCGGTGGTTTCTTGGTCATGACCAGCTAAAGTAGAACCTCCTCAGGAGTTACTTGGGATCTAGTTACTTGGAATTTTAAAACTATGGAACCAACTAGTTTCACACCAGGAGAACAACATCCGGAGCAACGACCCCAACTGTTTGGAAGATATCTTAAGAAAATGTTTTAGCAACGATATATATCCTATATGTACTGTCCATTTTTTTCCTGAAGTAGTGGCACATATGTGTAGGGGTGGAACATGTTGGCAATTTCAACATCTTCAATCTTCTTTAGCTTGCCAACAATTTCATGTGCAAGCAATTCCTTGTGTCTTGGAGATTTGCAGTGGCGCCTATTTTACACATCGATACCTCTAATCGTTGTTGGAGTTGCTAGCCGATTAACCCACTTTGACGCAATCTTGCTTCAACAAATACCATTAATTAGATCTGCAGAGGATCAACATCAACTGATCAACCAGATGCCTCAAATAATGTTTGGCGGTACCATGACTTGTTTGTTCGTGTTGGTTACAACATTATGCTTCCCTTTATACAACCATGGGGGGCTCATTTTGGGATTGCAGCAATTTGCTTGGTGGTTGCTACTCTTCAGATTTTCTTGAGATCATCTCCTTACATTCGTGTCAAACCATCTGGAAGTCGAATCTCAAGCTTGTTTAGAGTTATTGTGGCGGCCTCTATAAACATTCAACTTTTGTGCCCATAGGATCCTAGGGAGCTCTACGAGAAGTATGACCTTGGAAACGATCAGGAGCTACTGCCTCACACAAACCGTCTCAGGTGATGACCTCCGTCCTTGTTAAACTGCCATCTATTCTAAAAGCTAAAACTGTTAAAAAAACATGTAACATAAATGTTTATATAATATCCCTTTCCTTAATTGCATGACTGATGACTGGTGAGGTTGTGGAAACAATTTGGCTTGCTGGGGTTGGGGAGCGCATATAACGCTATGTCACTTAGCAAATTGTGACTTTCACATTCAACATCTTGAATTCTTTCTCTTAACACATGCTTAATCTAGCAGGTTTCTAGAAAAAGTAGCCATCCTAACCCAATTACAAACTATTGAGGAACAAGAGAACCAGAAATGGAGGCTTTGCAGGATCACTGAAGTGGAAGAAACTAAAATATTCTTCAGAATGATTCCCATGTTGATGCCTTTTGTCATCTGTGGAATTGTTTCCTCAGTAAGGACCTCTTTTTTCCTAGAGCAAGCCATGAGTATAACTCATAGATTTAGGTTCTTAACATTCTCATTCCTTATATTCTTCTATGCATCCTCCATGTATATATCCGCTAGCATTTATGCTTTAATTGCAATCATCAGAAGAATTTTTGGAATGGTGAAGCAAAAACACATACCTATAATAGGAATTGGATTTGGAATCATGATATCCATTTTCTGTTGCATTGTCGTGGCGCTAGTGGAGCAAACGAGGCTAACTGTGGCCAAGGGACATGGCTTAATCAACGTCCCTCAAAGCACAATCCCAATGAGTATTTTCTGGTTGATTCCTCAGTTTGTCCTCTTAGGTGCTCCACAAGGGATTCTCCTCAGTAACATGACCCATTTTTTGGTCAATCATGTACCTAATTCAATGCAANCTTAGGTGCTCCACAAGGGATTCTCCTCAGTAACATGACCCATTTTTTGGTCAATCATGTACCTAATTCAATGCAATCATATTTGAGCAAACTCACTGAAGCTTTCTTGGGAGTTGGATTCATAGCTAGTGTTCTAACTGTTAATGTTGTGGGAAAGATTAGCGACGAGAGAGGGGGTGAAAGCTGGTTCAGGGAGACATTAAACAAAAGCCAACTAGATAAGTACTATTACACACTACCAACAATGAGTTGTGCCAATCTTTTTTTCTATCCACTTGTTGCTTCTTGGTTTAATTACAAGGAGGTACACATTCCAACAGAAGAACAAGAAGTGGTAGATGAAGAAAGGTTTCAATACCATGAAGAGTAATACCATCAAGTGGTGATCAGGGCAAGTCCAAGCGAGTAACAGGTTATAAGTTTAATCTGCGGCCAGCCATGAAGTTTCAAGCATGAGTCTGTCTCATCTTCTTTGTTTGTTTTTGTTATTTGTAGGTAAATAATGTAATAGTAGCAAGGAATGAAGAACTTTGCTTTTCCTTTTGAAAGATTTCATTCTATCGTATAACTGTTCTAAATCTCATTTAAGCTACAGAATAAGTGAAAAATCCTTCTCAGCCTCGAACCTCTGTGAACAAATAGTGGTTGACTCTCACAAGAAATCAAACACCCTACAACTGTTACGCAACTATTAAACCCTTCAAGGTAGAAAAACTTCTAACACTTTACAATACGAATTTGAGTGTAATTCACCCTCATCACACCCACCCATACAAAAGATAATTTACTGTTCATAAAATTTGCATATCAAACAATTTGTAATGCAACAATTCCCAAAAAAATGAGTAGTCAAATCAAAACATGCAAGAGATGATAATAAAAAATAAATAGAGAACTAAAGAAATGGAAGAGAATGCAAAATGTGCAACAAGCCGAAATGTGCAAAAATTAGATCTACTTATACTTCACAAAAGGGAAATCTCGTGGGCCCAAGAGGGCTCACCCCTTATGGTTAAAATATAGTGAAAATTGGGGATGAGTCCCCCTAGATGTACTTGTTTGGAGATAAGTCCGGTAAGGGAACTTATAAGGAGTTAAGTCCATCTTTAAAATTATATATACTGACTTAAGTCCACTTTTTTTTATCTCAAAAATACCCCTAATGGTGTTAACTTTGGTCAATTATGGAAAGTCCTAAGTTAAATGGTTGAGATATATATGGTAGTAAACTAATCACTTTTTTATGGAAACCGTATATATCAATATATTATGCTTGAATTATGTTAAAATCAGTGGTCTGTTAGTCAATTTCAGATCAGAAGATTCCATTAAAAATTTAAATTCAAATTCAAAATCCAAAGCAAGCATAATTCGTGTGTCTGTTATATCATTTGAGTAATAGACTTCTGTGTTTGATATGGAGGCCTGAAGGTTATACAAGTAGCATCTGGATTCCATTTTTTTTTGTTATTATACGTCAACTTCCTGGTTCTTGATTCCACTTCGTTCTGAAACATTATTATTTGCTGTGGTATTTTCATTGTAATTTATTGATTTATATAATATGAATAACAGTACTATTTTGAACAGTTTTAGTGTTAATTGGTAGTCATTTGCCAGAAATTCTATATTACTTATTGGAGTTTCATATTTCAATGTTTTGTCATCAAAGTTACTGTTCGTGCTTTTTTTGGAATTAGAATTGATTTTTTTTCGTTTTTTTTCCTTTGTTAGTGTTGAAATTCAATGTCATTTTCTGGTATTCGTAGCGCGACGTTCTTTTCCAGAGTTTTTTTTTAGTTTTGAAATTAGGTTCTAAGTTCTTTTTTCATGTTACTAATGCTGATTTATTGGAATTAGAATTGATTATGTTTGATTTTCTATATTTTTCCCTTTATTTTTGTTTTATTGTTTATAACAGATGGAGGATAACTTACTGGTTTGTTGCAAGTATTGTTATCAGGTTGTTGTGCTAAGAATTACAATGAATTTCACAATGGATGATGTGTTACATGGGGTGTGTGACAATTGGAATGGGTTGAGTTTTGATTGTGTTGCCTTGTCATACGTTATTCCTAGACATCCAAATTGCATTTTGCAAAATAATCATGATGTGAGAAACATGTTTCTAATTGCACGATCTGTTCAGTTAAATTTTGTTGAAGTTACAGTTGTTGTTAAAGGGAATGGGGTTCATGATTTTGTGGGTGGGGAACTCGTGGAAAGGTTTGAATTAACTGTTAACCCTATTGGCCGCGAGGATGATCTTCTCTCTCATTTTTGTTCTCACAATGAGAAGGTTTTGTTAACCGATGGATGGTCCAATGGAATAGTAGAGGTTGGGCAGAAGTTTGAGGGAGGAGTAACTGATTTTCGAAATGTTTTATGCAAATATGCAATCGAGGTTGGTTTTCAGTTTCATTATGTGAAGAATGAAAAAACAAGGGTGAAGGCTGAATGTGCCATGAAATATTCTGCTGGGTGTGAGTGGTTTGTTGTTGCTACACTCCAACAGATAAATGGATGGTTTTACATTAAGAAGTTAAACAATGAGCACACGTGCGGTGTGGCTACACGTACAACAAAGAACAAAAGATTAACGTCTAATTTGGTTGGGGGTCTTACTGTTGACAACGTCCGACAAAACCCTGACACACGACTAGTAGATGTGAAAAGTATGTTTCATACAAATTATGGTTTGACCATATCGTATGATCAAGCCTGGATGGGTGTTGAATTGTTTGGAGATCATTCGTTGTAATACCAACAATTACGGTAATACGTACAGGCTACTAATGAAAGCAATCTAGGTAGTCATTTTGTGTTGGAAGGTGATTCGGACACGCAGCGTTTTAGTAGGTTGTTCATGTCATTTAAGGCATGTATACATGGATTTAACTATTGTCGACCCTTCTTGTTCATTGATGGTACATTTTTAAATGGAAGGTATAAAGACATTATTTTGTCTGTAACTGCAAAAGATGGCAACCAAGGTGATTTTTTTTTTTTTTTTGGTTTTATTTGGTGTTATTGATTTTATTTTATTGTTACATTTTTAATATTTTCCTTGTATGTTACTATTTTTGATGTTATTGTTTGTGTTGGTAATGTATTGCAGGTTTGTTCCCTTTAGCTTTTGCTATTGTTGATTTTGAGAATGAGTGTAATTGGCGTTGGTTTTTGGAACATTTAGCTAAGATTGTTGATAATACTAGGGACCTTACCATTATGTCTGATCGCAATGTTGACTTGATGGAAGCAATGCCAAAGGTGTTCCCAACAGTGCACCATTTTTTTTACTTACAACACCTAAAAGCAAATCTAAAAGATTAAGTATAGTGGGGGTCGCTTTACCCATGTGTTCTGCAAGCGTATGGTTTTTTTGTTTACATTGTGTGATTATGCTCTGACAGAGACATTTTCCAAGGAAAAGCTTGATGATTTTCGACGTGAAGGAGGAGCCGTTGCTGATAAGTTCTTGAAAAATCTTCCATTTAAGAAATGAACGAATGCTTTTTTCAAGGGAGAAATTTATGGGGAGATGTCTTCAAATGCTGTTGAGTCATTCAATGCTTGGATCACAAAGTCACGTCACTTTCCCGTCACAAATATGGTTGACACAATAAGGGGACAGATCATCAACCAAATGGGCTACCGTTTGAATACATCGTCACAGTGGAACAACATTAATTGTCCAAATATTGAATCCAAGCTTCAAGCTGCTTTCACTAAGTGTTGTTCTTGGTTTGTTAGGATGTCATCAAGTCATGTTTTTGAGGTTAATTCACATCCTTCAGTGACGGTTGACATTGGGAATTGCACGTGCTCATGCCATCAATGGCAGATGAACGGTTTACCATGTGCCCATGTTGTGGCTGCAATCCAAAAGAGTGGTAGGAATATCAATGAGTTTGTTGATTACTATTATCAAGTTACTACTTACAGACTGTGTTATTCTGAGCCTATACACCATATTCCAACACTCGGTCGTCCTAACTTTTTAGCGGTTGACGTTGATATGTTGCCACCATTGTCAAAAAAACAATCAGGCCGTCCAAAAAAGTGTGGACTTAGATCTAGAGGTAAGTTTGTTAGGAAAATTCATTGTGGTCGTTTAGGTAGTCATAATATGAAGACTTGTAATGAGCCATTGTAATATTCCATATGTTTTTTTGAAATAAGATGTTACTTTTTTTGTGTTTAGCTATTTGTGTTTGTCATGTTACCCATTTGGGAATATCACAAGTTAAACATTGTGGTAAGTTAATACTGTAGTATTATCCTTGCATGGTCAATATATGTTTCATGTTACTGTTAATGTGACCCCAATGTTAATATTTAATGCTCATGTTAGATAGTAACTAATGTTACTTTCTAACAAGGATTGTGTGTGATTACTTATTTTGGAGTAATTTACATCATGTTACTACACATGTTGCTTTGTTTGGATAACCAAGAGTTAACAATTGTTTATCAAAGAAATTATACAAACAATACTCAGCCATGTGGATAACAACATTTTCATTCCACTAGCAACTTCATTTAAGCTTTGTAGAATCATATAGAATTTGGAATCTGGAACAATTTTTATACATGTTACTGTTTGAGTTACTATTTGAATAACAATATGGACAGAGTTTTCTTTGTTCCACAAACATTCCTTTACAATCAAATATCAACCACCTAACAATTACAATCAATTTTTAACCAAATATCAACCACCCAACAATTACAACCAATTTTCTAACCAATTCTACAATTAGCCTAAAAATGAATAGACATCCCACACATTTGTACTTCCTATTTGTTGCTATATCTCTTTCTCATTCTTGCTCTTGTTTTGTAATCTTCAACAGTCCATACATTCCTATGATTTATGAATGTAGAGATCATATCGATCCTAAGAGCAATAATTTGTTGTGGTTTCTATTTATCTTCTATTGGTTGTCCACGTGCAATCTGTTGCATTAAGTAACACACGTACAATCCGCAATCGACTTGCATTCAAGGATTTTTTTTTAAATGATATTTTAATGTAATGTACTTAAAGATATTCTATTTTATTATTTACTTACGTGTCAGCTCATTATTGAGGACATATTTCATATGAGTACATTGGACATTTGATGTCTTGTGTGCTGACTACAATTTCATAATTTGTCCCTCTTTGGATGTTGTCTCCACGTAGTCTTTCAACCATAATAAAATGTTGTTAATGTTGTACATTTAAAATATATCACAGAATGTGGGTAGTTCAAATTTTATTAACTTACTAATATTTTTGCATCCTCAAAAAACTTGTCCACAATTCCACTTTGCAGTTTCAAAGAGTTGTAGTGGATCCATTCCCCGCTTCTGTATCCAGTACAA